GGCGGAGGCTTGAATGGCGCGGATAGAGGGACGGTAGGAGAGCGGGAGGATGCCGAGGATGAAGACCTTGTACTGCTCGTCCGAGAGCGTACCACCGGCCGTCGCGTACTCTGAGCGAAGTCGCGCAAGCTGGGTGAGGACCGGTCGGGGGTCGCCTCCCTCCTCGCATCGGAGCTGGTGCATGCGGTTGAGGATGTTGACCTGAACGAAGTCGCCTTGGTTGTCATACTTGGCAGATACAAGCGCCCATGCCTCGTTGGCACGGCTCTTGGAGGCGATGTCGAGCTTGAGGGACTCGGGAACCGTCTGGAAAAGGAGTGTCTTGATGGTCGAGTGGTTGCCCAGCCACTTGTCGACCGCCGTCTCGTACCGTTCGTCGGCGTCGGAGTCCACACCAGGAGCCGTGGGCGCTTGCGGAACGCGCTCCGTACCCTCAAGGTAGCGCCGGAGGCCCTTCGCGTAAACGGCGGCTAAGAACTGGGCCTTATACAGGACCCAATTCGAGCCGTCCTCGTTGAGTGCCGGGATCTTCGAGCTCGTAGTGGCCTCGGTTTGCGATAGGGGGTCGGGTACAATCTTGTGGATGTCGGCCATGGTGTGTGTGAGCGTCAGGGCTCATAACCTATTAACGGGGTTACGGGCCGACTACGGTAGGATCTAATGTAATCAGTGCCTCAGTGGGGAAAAGACTAAGTATTGTATAACTAGGTACCTAATGTAATCTACATGACGAGGACATGGTCAGTACATATGGGCATACAGCATAGAATACCTAGAGGGCTCACCAGTGCCTCAGTGGGGAAAAGACTGAGGCACTGGTCGACACGAACGTCGGTATAAGTGAGCGACGGGGAGCGCCCGCGACTGATGGTGGTGGGCGATAAGCTCGCCATGTGGGCGCAGGCGCTCAGGTACGAAACCCAACGTTCTCGAGACTTCGTCGGCGCTTGCACGCCAACAGAAAGTCCTCGGGTTTCATCTCGTGTCGATCGGCGGGGTAGTGTTCTGCCTTAGTGTCCATACTGAAAGCAGTCGAGGTGAGGTATAGTACTGTGAAGGAATGGAGAGGCTTAGTACTGACTTCGAGGTGCGTGTTGCGGTGCCAGTGCTGGGAGGGAAGTCCATGACAATTGTAAGGAGGTGATTGTTATGTCGGAGTTGATTGATGATTCGTGGTCTAGTGTTGATAAGACATTTATACCTTACTGTGCGCCTATCTGTGTGAATCTAGCATCGCGCAGCTGTGGGCTTTCGAGGCGTGTAGCGGTGCGAGAGTGCAGTTTTAGAAATTCGCATCAAGAGAACAGCTGCCAGTGGTAACGCCACATGCAGCCCACATATTTTATGCCACTATGCACGCATGTAAGCATGTGTGACTGGTGAGTCGTTACATAGGATGCCGAAACAAAATGGACCTGAGCGGCGAATTGAGTCTTGCTATTGTATTCAGGATGCCGTGCTGATTGTTGCGAGGTCGTTAGGGTACATCATTATCTGCTCAATCTGCATCCGCGGAAATCATCTATGCTGATGCGCCGTAGAAGTGAAACCGTAGCGTGCATGTAGAATGTAAACTTGAGACATACCACCGGAACATCATGCGATCATATTGACAACCCAGAGAGGCCCTCATATATAAACGAGGCAATAGCCTGCTGCTGAGACCCAATACCTACTCCAAATCGTCCAGTGTCAGACACAACTCCTTTACATTTAGCAACTATGTTGAAGCTTGATGTAAGCCATATTCGCAAGGATTTTGCGTTTCATTACGTCTACTGATCACATACATTACAGTTATTCAAGGATTGGAAGCGCACCTTTCCAGGGTCCCAATTATTCCCGCACGATCAGCTTGACCAGGAAATCAAACCCTTCGTGGCATTGCTTACCCCCTATTTGAGCGACTTGGAGGGTGACAAAGCAAAGCTCGCAGCCTGGGTTGTTCATCAGCTGCTCTTTCATAGAGTTCAAGATGAACTACCCCCTATCCATAATGCCTTTAGGTCCATACATAATATACAGCAAGTAATACAATGTCACCCCGGACTGCAAGGCATGATACTGCAAGGTTTAGAGACCCGAAAGCTAGGCCAAGTTCGCTCTCTCGGTTAGTGCTCCATCTCTCACTGAAGCAATGTCACCTACAAAGCTCATGCACTTGCAGCTCTCTGGTATACTTTCGAGAGCCGACATGTACAGGGGGCTGAAGGTGAAGAACAAACGGCATTCTACTATCAGTTTATTACATGGTTTGATCTTGACTTGTGTTACACAGAAACACCTGTCTACGAAACAATTAACTATCAAGGGATGCTAATTCAGTCGTTCAGAGATTGGGTAGAGGGTGCCATGAAGTTGTCCCTCAGTGGGTCATCTGGAAAAACAGCCTTTGCGAATTGATGCTAATTATCACTATTCAGATAATCTCATCTATATTAGTAAGTGTTAGCAGAGATGACCTCTACATTAGAGCTACTATTCAGACACACTTCTTCAGTAGTGCAACTAAGCACTAATTAGTATACTTGGTACTAGTTATAACTACTCTTCACTATCACTTTTTCTATAGTGCCATGTAGTGCCAACATGATACTATTATAGCACTACTGCAAATGTGGTCCTCTAATTTTCGCTATTTTGCACTACTGTAGTACTATTTTGCGCTATTTTAGCACTACTCATTTAGGGGAGACTCCAATAAGATGACAAT